GTATAGTGTTTGTATTAAACTTGAAGTTGTGAGGACGAGTAAAACGAAAAGTTTCTCGCTGTTCAATTGTGTGTCTCTCTACATTTGTTCAAGCACAAGTAGCAGATAAATATATCAAACAGAAAAATGTAAAACCAATCAAGCCGGTCGTGCATGTATGAACTCAAAGGAGTGACAAGTGACTAGGCCTGATAGAATCACAAGAAGTGTTGTTAAAGTTTGTAATTTCATCCTGGTGAAATAAGTCAATACGTGGCCAAGCGAACAGTGAAAAAATGAAAGAGGATCATCTTACAAATACAAGTGTGAAATGAGATAAAACAAGATATATATGTGAATCATCTAATACTTTTGAATGAATAAGATCAATTTCCTTAAAATATGTACAGTGGTATCTTTAGGTTTTATGGAGAGGATTGTCTATGTCATGAGAGATTATGCATGCATTATGATAGTGTGTAACCTTTTAATAAAAAAAAATTTAAAAAAAAAAATATGAAAACCAAGACGATTTGTTTATCCCAATTGTATAAGCTTATTCACGAACTATAGGAGAAATGCGAATTAAGTCAAATAACGAGGGAGCCATGTAAAAATTCACCGGTTCTTACTAGTATTAAAATCTTGAAAAAATATTCAGAAGGATTACAGCAGTATAGGTGGAACTATTCAATCCAGTTGATGTTATTGGCGTCTTTACGTTATGTGCATATTTTCTATATTTATAAACTTTGAGTATTCTAAAGTCAGCCAATAACTCATAACTTACTTGTATCTTCTTGGAGTTGGAACCAAATGGCAGTGGCAAAATTATGTTGCTGCGTGGGAAATGGTTAGTGGTACAATTACTTGATGGTTACAATGGGCGCATATTTCTCTTGGCTTTTCAGAAAGACAGTTTTCCCTTTCTTTCCTCTTCAGATTAGTATGCTTATAGTCTTATTGGCTCATTCGTTTACTTCTCGGCAGGATGCTAATTTGCAGGGCTATGTACCGGCAGTTCGGATGTTGGCACAACGAAACTTGCTGGGCATATAGAAGTGTGAATACGCAACGCAATACTGACGTAACATACTGAGTGCTGCCTGGCGGCTGTGGCTTTCTACAGTACTGTAATATCTCAGACATAGCAGAATTCTGGGGTACCTGATCAGGCAACTACGGCATGTAAAGGCGATCGTTGTCGGCATGATGGTAACGAGAAACTTGTAATTTTCTTGAGTTATGGTGAAGTAAGTCGAGAGAAAACCGAGTCGGGCCTTTATTCGAGCATGGATTTCCACGTCACCTTGTGAGCCATCTAACGCATCCAGGGAATGCGAAACAAATTAGAGGAAACTTCTCTTTTGAGAATTGAGAACCTTAACTAGCTATACTATTTCTGAATCACAAAGCTGTATCTCAAAGCTCATTAAAGGAGGCGATGTATATGTCAATATTCTGGTAAAGTCTTAGAATGTGTTACTAGAATTGCTCTTCTGTGTAATTTTTTAGTTGTAGGGTCTTGGAGAGTCCTGAGTCACAGAGATAACTGGTACAGCTGTTCAAATGCTTTATATACGGTCTGATTTGCTTGACATATCGAGGTTTGACACTCTTCGCTTTGAAAAGTTCATGATGGAAATCGTTGACACTACCTTCCTGGTATAAGCAATGACAAAACAGGCCCATAATGCAACAATGTGGTTGCGTTTGCAGACTTACTCTGCTCGTTCTTCAGCGCAATCTATCTTGATTTTATAAAAGAATTCGATGGTCAAGATTGCCAACATTAGCACAATCCACAAATTCTTGCTGCTTGTTCTTGATTTTGACAGCAAGCTACAGGCGAGAGCGATTTTCATTGTGCATGATCGGATGAGTGACGAGGAAATCGTAGGAATGAGCAGGCTTCACCTTGAACACAAGATTGAGGTCTCCAAGACGTACCTCGAGCAAACGCATAATGTTATCTTGCTCTATGAAGCCCTCCAACTCGGGGTTTCAAGCAATGCTTATACTTTCACCGATCATGTCTTGTGGAGTCTTCATCGGTGGAAGTTTGAGTACCCTCTCAAGAACCCTCGCTTTATTCGCACGTCAGTTCTAACCACCTCACGCTTCTAACTATGCACATACCCTTTGTTATTCGTCCTCATCTTCCTCAACTTACTCTGAGCATCCTCAACTATTCATGTTTACTCAGAATATTAACACAATGAGGGTCGTCACTCTTCAATTAATCACTCACATTACTTCTCTGTCTCTCTGAAGTAGCAACCTTTGCACAATCATCGTGTCTACCAAATTTGGGAAATTCCATCACACGTCCCAACTGGATCAGGCTGACAGCATACAACAGCACCAATAGGCCCCCTTCTTTCCCAAGGCTGCAAACGGGCCTCATACCATTCTTCACGGGGCAAAAGGCAATGAGATCCGGTAAGTTGACCTACTCCTGCACACAGAGAAACATTACGGCGCATTCTTAGCACCGAAATAATGGGGTTTGTACAGCAGATTTTCAGGCCTTGAATTCGATATCACGGCCATCAGATGGTTTTGATGCCCACCCCTCCAGTCTTCTCCTCAGCTCAAAGGCGGAAGATCTGAAGAAACTCGAACAGCGATGCAAGTCGAGGAAAGACACAACGGCCAGTCAGATTCGGCAGCGAGAAAGAGCCTTCAGTACATGAGCAGAAAGGAAAGAATCTGTAAAGCACTTACGATAGCTCGCCCTTCCAATGAATCCATGTTATAAAATTGATGTTACCTATGTAGTTAGTTAAAGCAATCTACAATTATTATTGTAAAATATAATTATCATCCATCAAAATTTGAACTTAAAAATTTAGACAGATTTAAAATTCAAAGAAGCTTTTTCGATTTCTGATAATAATACGTCAAAATTTATGTATTCCAAATATATTTTTGAATAGATACATCATCTAAAAAATTAATCTTTTATTTACCCAATATTTTAAAAAAATGTGGATTTCGTTTTGAAAACTCATCAGAAATAGATTACAAGTACTGCTAAAAAATGTAAATGAATAAAATTTTAATAAAATTTGGTTATATTTTCATGCAAAATCATTCAAAATTTTTTATTATTCGTGTGAATGAAAGCTGTTTCAAATCAGAACTGTTTTAACGCCAAAAAAAATTTAAACATACGCGTTAGTTCCCAAAGAGGGAAGCCAGTTATTATGATCATAATCGGTCCAAAAGTTACCTTTATGAATATCCACAATCAATTAATTGAAAAACAAATTTTACAAATTAAATGAAATTTGATTTTTATAATGAAGATGTGTGATATTTGGAAGCTCTGTTATTTTTCATATGATATTTTAAGTAAATACTTTTCTTATGCATCTGGATAACTATGTGAAGCATATTTACACTTATCATGTTGGTGTTATATGTCAAAAGAATTATAAATCCCTCATGTACAGGAATCAAATATGATATATATTTCATTTCAAACTCATGTTTCGAGACGAAGCATAAACCTCAGGAAAAGAATTCCACTTCTAGGTCAAATCAAGGATGTTTGAATGGTTGGAAAAAAAGAACTCGGCAGATTTCTAACAAAGATTAGATCGAATAAAAGAACTCGTGATGTTTGAACTATGACATATTCTTCAATAATCAAAATATTAAAACTTCTCCGCTAAACAATCTACAATCCAAAACTGTTGAAACTGTGATCATATCTTGTTCATTATGGTAGAGTTCATAGGATATAGTCCTGGTTTGTTGATGAAACATTGCTCTCGGAGTATGTTTAGATACCAGTCATTCATGTTGTCAAGAATCATCGTTTCGGGTTCCATTTACGGCTGTTCCTAGACCTTGGTTATTGTGTTACATAACGGAAATCTATTCACTTACAATCTTATCGAGCACAACTAGAGATTTTGCATAAGATGAAATGGCTGCGACCACGAGCAGTACAAAAAGATAGATCTGATGGGCTTAATCCAAGGAGGGTATCTCCTTCGTATAGAAGCAGGTGTTCTAAACTTGTTTCAAGACACATTGCTCATAAATAGAACAGAACAACTTGAAATGATATTTGACAATGGAACCTATATGAGATACTCGAAAGTAAGCCCGGAGCAACAATGAGATCCAGATGCGTGCCAGTCTCTCCAATAAGTCATCTCAAGTGTTTTCAAGTGATGGAACTTGGATTGTTTTTACGTATATTGCTTGTCATACGCCTCGTGATCTGATGGAGGCTCCCTTGTTTCCGTTGAGTCTCTCTTCCCAAACATATTTGCTCTCTTATATTTGGAGAAGTTACAGGCCACGAAGAAGTAAATTAATGAGCAAACCTTACAATACAAGAATTATGAGGAACCTTGCTGTTCGATTGTTTGCACACCTCACAAAGCTTGCTCGTGTACAGAAAAGCGAAGTAAAGTGACGTATCACCGAAGACTTGGCGACAGAAAAGACAAACACTGAAGTTCCTCACTCCTTCGTCACTCTGCTGCAACTGTACTCCCTTTCACAAGTTCTACTGTTCTCCGCTCTCTCTCGTTAAAACTACTGCTGTATATTCTGGCTTTCACAGACGAACCCCCAATAATTCTCTAATCAGAAGGATGACGTATGTGCTTCAGAAGCGGCGATCTTAAAAGTCTTTTAAATATTCAATATCCAATCTCTTGGAAGATTTTGCAGAATAGTCTTTTTACATACCCAGAGCCCTTGAATTGTGACATCACCTGCGGGAAATTTGAAGGGACATAGCTTAATTCATGAGGCTTACTAAAAGAAGCATGCCGTAGGACCTACGCAGATTTGGGCGAATAATGTTTAACAAACTGCAACAGTGCTTTATCCACAGTCGTCACTTGTACTCTGTGTACCACGGACAGTCGATATAGATCAGGCCAATGGCTCCTTCTTAGCTGTCGGGCCACCTGATTGTTAAAAGCCTTGGACACTTGTACAAGCCAGAATTGTCCGCCCATTTTAAGTATCGCTTTAAACGAAAGTCATGCTGGTCTGAGAGGGCTTCTTCATCTGATCTGCACCAAAAGTCACTGTTCACTTATTGACCCCTACAGAGCTGCCAGCTTTTTCAGATTGAAATACTTGAGTCCCAGCCCGGGAGTCATAGCTTGCAGTGAGAGAAAACCTGTCGAGGAAAAAAATTGAATGCTAGAAACTTGTAGTGCTATATGTAACGATTAGGTTGTCATCCAGTATGAGAGTGTAACTGGTTTACGGGTAATTCAGATCAGCGTGAACTGTAGGAGCGATCTAGCCTTTGAGAACACATTTGTATCTACTGAAGTAAGTCAATCGCTAGCAAGACATTCAAATCTTAGAACGGGGCATAGCAGGCTATTCCTGTTGAAGATCTGTGAGCTGAATCATTGTATTCTTTGTTGACAGAATCCATTGTCACTTTTTTATCCGACGACCCCAGGCAGACCATACATTGATGCAGGTGATCTGAGTTAGAAGCACAATATTGTTAACAGCCATGGAAAGCGCTGATCCGCAAGTAGAGAAGCTGTTCCCTGAGGAGGATCTGTCCGTTCCAGCGCCAGTGAGCTCATCGTTCTGTGTGCCATACACGACGCAATTCATCATCTTCAAAAAGCATTTTGTTTGGACAGATGGCGTGTTCAAAGTGAAGGATGTCAAGGGCAATTTGCTCTTCAAGATAGATAGATCTTCGGCCCTTTGCTGTAACCTGGTCGTCTACGATCACGATGGAAGTGTCGTCATGAGTTTGAGAAGGAAGGTGAGCACCAATAAACCCAGAAGTAGAGCTAACACCTCTGGCTGATGTTCCTCTAGCTTACTGAGAGACACAGAGTACAAATAAGTTTCTGTATCACAAGATGGTTCTGGTTCGATACCAGTGAAGTACCGTGTTTTGCTTTCTGTTGACCTTCACCAAATAATTTTCTTCACAAAGGCTGGGGAGTTGTGAGGCTGAAACTTTCTCCTATTGATGAATGCGAAAGCGGCTGGGGATCTGCACAGTTGAAATCTTCAATACAGTCCACGGGGCGTAGAGAGTGAATAGAAAGTCTGATGGTTGAATATGCAGATCTTTTCGTTCGTGGATACATGGAATGCGTACCGCGGCAAGAAATCAAGCAAGTCTGAGGATCGGCTTTTCACGATGTCAAGGTCCAGTCTCATTCAGTGGAAACCGCATTTCACGATATGGCTTCCAGGAAAGGCAAACGATGAATTTACGTTGAGTAGCGACTTCTTCGAAACGCATTATAAAATACGTCACAACGGTGTTATCATCGCAGAGGTAAGGCTAGCCAAACCACCCACGCGCCGCACGAAAGACTTGGATTGCTCAACCTATTCACCGACAGGCCATCTGATTGTGTATGCAGCAATGGGTACAAACATATGCCTGAAAAGAATGTCTCCTCAATTTGCAGAATGACAGGAGATCCCTTTTGACTCACGTAGATCTGTGTTTGCAATTTCTAGAACCTTCTATCCATCGGAGTGACTATATGGATAGATGGTCCTGTGAGATCGGGCTCACAGGACTCCCGATCGAGTTTGACATAGTTTCCGTGGCTTGCAGGCTGTACAGAAGCATTTGCTCTGCTTCAAAAAAGAAATGGCGGTTACAGTGAAACCGGGAGTCGACCAAGCATTCGTAGCAGCACTTCTCGTCATCAAGAGACAGATAGTCCCTCACAGACAGGGTGGTGGAGATTGAGTGTAAGCACTGATACAGTAAAAGATAGAGCTTACTGCCGAATTGTAAATACGAATTGTGTCCTCCACTTCCGAATTGTTCTACCTACGCCGAGGTACATCGTATGGTGATGCAAACCCCGTTTCGATATGAATGGATGCAAGATGGCGGGAAATCACAACGTAGGAAGCTCCAAGTTCTTGTCCGAGGCCATTACCTAATGCAGCCAGACTGTTGCCAGTGCATCTCTCTCTGTTGCACTTCTCCTCCAAGCGCAACAATATGGCAAGTACAGGCCTATTTCACTCGGAGACAAATTTCAATCCGCTTCGATTAGACTCTTGAACAACTGAGCAAAATACAATACCAGAAGATTCACGAAGTGTTAATCTTCATTGCCATTACCTGAACCCCACCAGTGCAGATACTCATAGATGTTTATACCTTTCATAGTGCTACAAGTAGTTTCATATTCAAATTATTAGTAAGAACGTGTTCTCTTCTTTTGACTTAGAAAGATTAGACCTACGCTTACCCAGCATTTACGTTTCGTTGAATCTTAAAGTCATACGGCCCTTATTTGCGGTCTGAACTTGTGTTTTATGTATTATAACTTCTCACCTGTCCCTTTCCATACCAAGGCGAGGAAGAACCATGGTAACCCTCATTCTTATTTCACAGCTTTTAATAAAATGAATAGCATGGACTACAATATGATTGTTGCAACAGAGTTCTACCACGAAGGTTCCCCGTGCTATGCGAAACTCCACATGGAACAGTTTTATATTGGACGGCCATAGACGTGGAAAAGCGTAGTGAACATTAAATTTCCAGACACTATGTAGTCGTCTTCAGATTCTACTACCAAAGTACTTCTGATTTTCAATCATTGATTGAAAATCATTTCTCGAGAAATGTTGAAAGTGTCCAAGTTTGATGAATCATTCTGAAGCATACAAAGCCTTCACATGCGAGTTCTAGCGAATGGATTCCACTTTCAGGTCTGTCCTCGGTATGCTTCATGTGCCTCAAGTTCAGAGTAATATGTAACAACTGCACGCTGCTTTAGTTCTCCTTCTTGCATAAGGAAAATGGTTCACAATTTCAATACTGACAATCGAGTTACTAATACTTATTTAATTTAGAATCAAATGGTTTGTCTATTCGGTTAGCTAAATTTTCTCAAGCCAAGCATCAAGGCTTTCTTACAATTGGAAAGTGGAATCATTTTAGAGAATGGTGTCTACTTTCCATGATCCACTTTACATGTTCCACTTTTCACGCACGTGATGTGTCCCAAACCGTTGAGCTTACACAACAGAAAGAAAAAATCGAAATTCTAGTCAAACTTCATCTAATTTCAACATCTTCTCAGAGTCGATTAGGATGTCATCTACGATCTACTAGAATTAAATTGTTAAAGTATAATTCGAAAAATAAGAACTAAAGAATTGTTTGAAAAGAGTGCAAGCTTTACACTCTCAAATTTGTGGATTATCAATGTCCCAAAGATTCCGACTTAGTTTATGCCACTGATAAAGCCCACAATAAAGCTTCCACTCTTTTCCAATAGATTTTCTATAGCTTTCCCTGTTGACGACTTAGTTTGGCTTGAGGCATTTGTTCGATAGCAATCGAAGTTGGGAATTTGATCGACAGTGTCGTGGTTTCCTATATTCGACGCTTCGAACTGCCGAGAAAGTTGATCTCTTCCAATTCTGTATTTAGCCAGTGACATCTGTCGTCGTCTTCCAAGCTCAGCCATGGCCTTCAATCGGAATAAGGTGAGCGCCTGTAGGCTGAGATGATACCAGGCTCATGAATTTACAGCTTTGAGCGCTGTGCAGATTTCATTCTGGTCTTTGTATCAGATTTTGGATGACTGACAGCCTGCAGCTTTTCTACGGACGATCTTCATCACCGACATTATCAATGTGGTATGTCTGGCATTCCCCTTCAGTAAAGTTCGATTTTCTCGTACTGCCGATATCCGCCCCTATCCGAAGTTTGAGGGTTAGTTTTCAGACCGCTTTGTATGGGTTTTCATGGCTTAGATTAACTTAGAAAGATTAGACCCGACCCTTTCCATCATCTACTTTTCTAGATTCCAGAACTGCTCTTAGTTGTGGTGAGATACTGTTATATATGTAGTATAACCTCAGACCTGCGAATTTTTAAAGCAGAGTGATGAACAACCATGAGGTCAACGTCGATGAGTGGAAAGAGAACTATCTGTGAAGCACTGAAGCTAGCTCTCACACAAATTACCAATGAAGATGATATCATATAGTATCGCTATTACATGCGCGACTCACTACAGAAGAACGGAGACCCTTCAGTTTCAAGGAGTCCAGTGTAATTGGCTGAACTATATTCAAGAAGATATGTAGAAGATAAATAAGCGACGCATGGAATATAAATGATCAATGGCAAAAGCCACGTTCAACAAAAATGAATCTAAGCATACTTTACATTCATTGCATTCTTCATAGAAGGATGTAAAAGTTCATCTGAGAATGGGCTTACAGTCCTTCCCCTTTTCAAAGTCCATTGATGCTAGATAAAGTACAAAGAGAAAAAGTTTCCTCGACTTGCAGTCTAGACGACTCTCACTATGTAAGATAGTTGCACTTAGAACAATAAATTGATCTAGTTGATTTTCAGTCCTAAATTTACTAGATAAAAACGTGACCCCTTGCTATTGAAATATATTGAGAAATTTTCCAGTCACAAGAAATCAGAAGGATGGGATCCGATCATTCTTGATCACAACCACTTGGAGGTTTTCAAATAGTTGAAGATCTGATCATCAATTTCTTGGACATGTATTACTGTGTGCCAATGGTTTCATAGATTCCATACTATACATATATTCTAGAACACCTTTGTGTTCTAATGCTTAAGGTATATCAAAAGGAGGGCAGCTGGCTTTGTTGGTCCTTGCCGTCTAGGAAGTTGACCTCTTTGAGACGAGGTGTAGAATTGAGCTCGAAACAGTCCAAACGAATACTTTAGTCGGTACACGGTCAGCCACACTGAAGAGAAATTTGGAAGACGCTGCAATCTTGGACGTGACCCTAGTCAAAGGTTCACGCTCCCAATTTCACTATACTGACGTCGAAGGCAGCATTACAGTACATGAAGAAGAATAGCGGGTTAAGAGCAAGAGTCAAGTGATTGATGTACTAAAACAACTAGACTTTGTTCATTCAGTCCTTTTACTACTAGATCTACAATATCTGCAAATGAGTCAGTGTATCTTACTTTTCAGATACTCTAGTAATGGATGTATTTTAATCTAATGGTAGAGGGATCCAACGTCCAGCAATTGACCTCGTTTTCTCCAGTTCCAGGTCAAATCTCGCATGTCAAGTGAATGGACTCATCAAATCTCAGATGGAATAAGAATACTCTTGAAATATCAACAATTTTTTTTCATTCGATAATCAAAATTTAGGAGCTGGATATTGAATTACAGGATATCTCCGCATACCGATCTACAAACTACAATTTTTGAAACTGTGATCACATCTCGCTGCTTCTGATAGAAACACAGGATCTAGTCCTTGTTTGTTAACGAAATCTTGCATTCGGATGATGTTTCGACACCAGTCACTCATATGGTCAAGAACCATTGTTTTAGGTTCTGTTCAAGGCTGTCCGTAGACTTTTGGTATTGTTATGAATTGGATTTCTATTCACTTACATTCTTATCAAGTAAAACTAGAGATTCTACTTAAGATGCGTGCAGCACGAACTTATCAGTTCTGATGAACTGAATTCATGGAAGGAATCTCAGTTTTAAAGCAGAAAATTTCTTACATATAGGACATACCGATTTAGTCATTTATGGGAGTGGAAGCTATGTAAGATACTCGAATTCAGCCCAGAGCAGCATAAACTACAGATGAGTGCCAGTTTCTCGAATATGTAAGGTGATTGGAAGTGTTCACAAGAGATAGAACTTGAATGATCGATACTTTTAGTACTTACTTTACTCGTGGTTTGCTGGAGTTTCCCATGTTTCCTCTGAGCCTTCTTCCCAAGCGCATTTCCTATCTCATATCTGGACAAGCTCCAAGCCTCAAAGAAGTAAATTAATGAGCGAACCTCACGACAACTGAGAGAGAGAATGCAGGATCTTGCTGTTCAGCTCTATGTACACCTCACAATGCTTGCACGTACTCAGAAGTGCGAAGTGAAGAGACGTATTCGCGAAAGAATAACGACGGAGAAGACAACCATTGAAATTCCTCCACTCCTTCGTCACTCTGCTGTAACTACAATTGTCTTCCATTCGCAAGTTCCACTTTTTCCTGTTCTCGCTGGAAATTATTGCTATATACATTGACGATCCAGACAATCCCCCATTAACTCTCAGATGAAAACAATCACGTACGTGGCTTAAAAGCGGCGATCTTGTTTTGTTCTTTGTACACATCAACACACAATATCCAGGCATGGTCCTGCAAAATAGACTTTCAACTTACTCAGACCCCGTAATTGTGAAATCGTATGCGGGAAATCTGGAGCGACATCTTATAAATATTGAGCCCTACTAAAATCAGCGTGTGGAAGGAACTGCGCAGATTTTGGTAAGAAATGTTGAAGAAACTACCACAATGATTCGTCCACAGTCGTGACTTGCCCTCTGCGTACCACGGACAGTCGGTATAGATAAGGCCAATCGCTCCTTCTTAGCTGTCGGGCCACCTGATTGTCAAAAGCCCTGGAGAATCGTACAAGCCAGAATTGTGCGGCCAGTTTTAATCTCGCTTCGATCGAGGTCAATGCTGGTCTCATTAGACTTCTGTGTTTGATATACACCACAAGCACCTTCTCAGTACTTGACCTCTCGAGAACTGCCGGATTCTTCAGCTTCATAAACTTGAATCCCAATCCTGAGATTCAAGGATATTAAATCCCAATCCGGGAATCAAAGCTTAACGTGAGAGAAAACCTGTCGTTCAACGGTGAAGTGTCGGCGCCACGCTCTGCGTTTTCCGGAAAAGCTTTTATTCAGACGAATGCTAGAAACTTGTAGTGACATATGTAACGAGAAGATTGCCTTCTGGTATGAGAGTGTTACTGATTTACGGGTGTTTAAGATCAGCGAGAACGGTAGGAGCGATCTAGCAATTTAGAACACAATTGTATCTACTGAAGTGAGTCTGTGGTTAGAAAGACTTTCAAATCTTAAAAAGGGAAATAGCAAGCTTTTCCTGTTGTAGATCAGTGAGCTGAATCATAGCATTCTTTGTCCACAATTCAATTCCCGTTTGTTTATCCGACGACCTCAGTCACACCATACATTGCAGCACTGATCTGATCTGGAAACAGATTATTTTCGACAGCCATGGAAAGCGCCGACCCGCAAAGAGAGAAGCTGGTCCATGATGAACCCCTGTCTGTTCCAGCGACAGTGAGCTCATCGTTCTCTGTGCCATATGCGACACAATTCTTATCTTCAAAAAAAATTAACTTTGGAACGATGGCTTCTACAGAGTGAAGGATATCAAGGGCAATTTGCTCTTCAAAATAAAAAGATCTTGGAACCTTTTCGGTGATCTGGTCGTCTACGATCCCGACGGAAGTGTCAAATACAATGTCTTTTTTTTGTAATGAATCATCGTAGATAATTCATTACTTTTGGGGAAATAGCTTAGTGTCATGAGTTTGAGAAGGAAGGTGAGCACCGATAAACCCAGAAGTAGAGCTAATACCTCTGGCTGATGTTCCTCCTGCTTACTTAGAGACTAAGAAAACACATAAGTTTCTATATCACAAGATGGTTTCTGGTTCGATAAGTGTAACTGAAGTACCGTGTTTTGCTTTCTGCTGGCCGTTCACGAAACAGTTTTCTTGA